CTTTTTAGTTTTACAAATTTCTCTTTACTTGATTTCTCCAAAACTCATGGCTTCCTGCAGTAAGATATCCTGCGACTGGTACCTAGATGTTTGAATTTCAATATAGCAGTTAAAAATGAGGCATTTCTGACACTTTGTGAAGTGCAGATTTATTTATCACTTTGTTGGTATTTGTAGCTGGTAGCTTGCTGCTCACGTCTATGAAATTAATTAATCCATAAGGACTCTGACAAGAAGGAAAGTTTTTAGTACTCGTAACAAGAGACATGTTTTCTTCCATGGGAGGAACATACAGATTACAATTCAAAGCTTGTACCCAGACGGCAGTTTGCGTTGTCTTGACAGAAGGGACTTGAGAATACACAGGTTTCCCCCACGCACCAATCCTTTTATGTCCTACAGATGACACAAAAAAATGCATGGGATAAAGAGAGAGGTTTATTGTGTTTTCCTGTCTCTGAAAGATTGGGACAAAATGAGCAACTCCAGGTGCACGACAAAAGCTGTGGACGCTTTGAAAGAGCCTGATTCATCTTCTATGAAGAGCGCATCAAAATATGAAATGGTGATCACTTCGGAAGACACCATCACCTGCTGTCCTACAAAAATTGTCACGTAAAGATGAGCAAGGTATCAAACTCCTAAGCAGAGAGATAAAGGGCCTTCTACAACTATTTCCATATATATATAAATTAGTAACACACCAATGTCAATCTTAGCCAAGATTTGTTATCTACAAAACACATAGTATGGGTAGAAAGGTAAGTGCATCTAAATTTGTGTCCTAATCTTTATTGCTCCTTAGCTTCTATTACCATTACCTTACTACCCTTGACTTTGCTGTCACTGGTCTTACCCCCAATAGAGACAATCATTTAATACGAACTTTCAATAGGTCAGACAAATTTCAGAGACCAACCATTTTTTCTAAAACACTCGGAGTACACTACATATTCCAATAAATAGCAGAGCGATATAAGCTAAAGAAAAAAGTTACTTGCACACTATCCTAAATCCCTATGCACATTTAAATAACTTTTTTATTATCACTTCAATGTCCATTTAAATGTAAGCTCACCCTCCATGTCCAGGCAAAACCTCTTATGTAAGTCCTACACTAATAATTCACCATGCGGTCTTCAGCTAAAAATTTATAATAGGACAGAGATGGGCATTCTTCTAAATGCCTACATACTTATTAACCCTTAATAAGGAACACATGGTGTGGATAATAATATAAGTAATAGATCTCAAAGTGGGAGATTTATCTCTATAAAATGTTCTGTTCATTTTTGGCACAATTTTATTAAATCTGTTGGATTTTTTTTCATCTGTTGCTTTTTTTTTTTTAAACCTATAATTCTTGCATTTGCGTCATTTTGTTTTATCTATGCTTCAAATTTATTAATATTTTCTCCACTTTTTTCCAACAGAAATCTTCCAAAATGGGAATTTTGGTTAAAATTGTCAGAATGTGGTATGAAGAAAACCATTACTTTTTAGAACACTTTAAATTCTGTCATTTTTATTATATGTTTTTAACCACCACTTTTCAGAACACTTTCATAGATCTCCTCCATTGAATTAAAAAACAGAGCATGTTTTTCGATTTGCTTCACCCCAGTCTAAAGCCCCAAAGAACATTTCTGCAGAATAGAACATTCTGATTTATTGGACTCCTCACAACCCACAATGACTGCATCTGTACATCTTCCTCCTCTGAATAACCGGCCACATTTATAATCTACACATAAAGGAATCTGTTACTGTCCCATTTCATATTTTGTGTCTTCCCACATTTTCAGTAAAACCAAAAATATATTAAATATATATAAAATTACTTTTGATTTTTTCCATTATTTTTATATATTTAAATTATATTATAATTCTCCGCTTACAAAAGTGACATTTCACAGCTTGAGAATCATAACAATCAACTCTGGTAATGCAATGGTTAAATTTATGTTCCACATAAAGATGTTTTAAGACTGTGTCTGTTTCCGCCTCCTATCTATACTGCAACAGCTCCCTCCGAGCTCATCTAAGGGGTTTATTTATTACACAGTGCTTATGGTGAGAACCAACCTGTGAACTTGTTCCCACATATTTTCACATTCTGTAATTTTAGGAAGTTTGATTCCAAAAAATATGTGACCGATTCTTTATAAATAATTATTAAAAGTATTTTTTTAAAGTTAATATATGTTTGAGACACCTGCTGTGTGCGACACAAATAATCTATCTGATTCTTTGCTAATATTTTAGAACCTGGATGAAATATTGCAAGATAAAAAAAATCCATATATAATAATAGCCCAAAATTTTTTGTAAAGGCTAAATAAAAACATGTAAAAATTAAATATTATATAAATTTATAGACTCTTTTTTGCATATCCTTGAACAGCACAAAAAATATTTTTTTTAAAATGTGTTTTTTTTTGTGTGTTTATGTGTAAGCTACGCATTATGTTTCAAGTAAACTTTGCACTATTTTTTTTTTTTTTAACCATAAAGAACATCTTAGCGCAGGGTACAAGAATCCGTTACAGCGGTTTAGGTTGCGGATATTCCACCCCTAAAGCCTCTGGCATTTAAAAGGTTAATTCCCTAGAAGATGCTTGAAACACAGAGCTAGTGATCGTGTTGATCTGGGGACGGTAATTAAAGTCTGCCTACGTGCCCTGTGGGACGATTCCCAAGCTGGCAAAGATCCATTCCTGAGTAGCAGCACAGCAAGCTGGGTACAGGACATAAATTATAGCTAATGATTAAATTGCTGACATGTTCACATTAAGATAAAAGCTCAGTTTGTCAAAAGTTGTCTTCTACCCAGTGAAACACGCAGACAGGAATAGCAGACGTGCTCTAAGAAATTACAAATTCCTGCTTTCTTGGTCTAAAATATAATTTAATGCTATTTAGGAAAAAAAAATGCATTGAATACATTTAAGAATGGCCCCGATTTAATATTTGGGGATAAGTTATTTAAATTATTTAATATTTTTAAATAAACTTTTAAAATGCTGTAACATTTTGATTTTTTTTTTTATAATATAGTGACAATTTCTGATATTACTATTTTTTTTATATGATATATTTTTGGATATTTGTAAAATTTTATTTTGAAAGTTTATAAACAAATATTACATTAATTTAAAAAGCTTATCAGAGAATAATAAAGTAAGGCCTGCGATAGGCAGACTGATGGTTATAAAGATTGATAAATATATAAACCACTGTTGCTGTCATATCGTTACAATTGGTTGCAGTTTTTAAAAAAAAAATTTTTTTTTAATTAATTTGATTTGTAATGAAAGTGTATGGTATGCATAATGTGAAGATATACCCCAGGTGATATACTGATAAATAATAACCCAGAGCCATTATAAACTGCCTGTGTCTTGGAAAGGAAAGGATTGACTATGGAAGGTAAGTATAAAGTTTAATTCAAGAGTTCAGTCCCCATGGTAACTATTAGAATGTTGATGATTGCTCCAGTTTAGAATATTGCAGAAGTATTGTTCATAAAGGGACACTCCACTACCCAAATAAAAGCAAAACAAAAAAACACAATTTAATAGATATTTTCCCAATGAAAACATGCATGTATTTAATTATGTATATTTTTCATTGGGGTTATATCTAAAAACAGCATTTAAAAGCTACAGTTCTCTTGTCTGCAGCTTTCCACGCCCTTACTTTCTTTCCCCACCCAGACTTCCTGTAACTGTCCAATCACAGACTTCCCAATGCAGCTCAATGAGAAAACTTTGCAAGGTGATCTGAGCCATAGCTGCTTTGAGTTAGTTCCATTGAGCTAAACAACCAGGACGTAACAGTACTTGATTGAGAGCCAGGGGTGTAACCAGTATAAATTGTAAAAGTAACAATTTCTATTGAAATTTACGCTTTTTGTAAAATGAAATCAGAGGACAAACTTTTTTTTTTTTTACACATAATGCACTTCAGCAAGATAAAGTGCTTTAGGGATTTGGAGTCTTCATTTAATATACTACCCTCATTTTAATAGATAGTGCCTCAAATTCTTTCTACCATAACGTTTAACCTGCCTGGCGGTAATCCCAAGCATGGCTCTGGGTTTAATTTTCAGTATCAAAAATGGTTACCCCGAGCCACGCTCGGGATTACACTGTAGTATCACTTACCTTGTCCCTATGACCCCCTGGTGTCCTCCCGTAGTGTCCTCTGTCCGATGCCAGCATCCTTCTTCCGGGTTCCCTTTACCTGCGAGCGCCGCCTGGCAGAACCAGGCCGAAAAAAAAAAAAAAAGTACGCATACACACAATCCATTATAATACATTCTAATTATTTATTATATTATAATTTTATGATTTCGTGTTTCAAACTTTATCATACCCGGGATGTCTACTAGACTCTTGTTTGGACAGAATATTGTGAGTTATTCCTAAGAATTACAAGCCTACAACATGAAACAACAAATTTACATACAAAACAATGTACCACTTTAACAATAAAAAATACTGACATAATCAGAATGGGAGGGAGGTTAATATGTTTTGCCACCTCTCAATATTTCATGTGCCCAAAGAGGGTTACTTTTATATTATCACGGCAGCTCACGAAAAATCCTTTCATTTTCATTTTAGGAGATTTTGTGAACTTTTGTTATGTACATTTATGAAAATGCAATTTAGGACCAACAAATCTTTTCTATGTGAAACAAAGTCAATAAATAGCAGTGGTTATGGTGCTTAGAGTGCCCCTTTAAGCTCCATTAAGGATGTAAAATGTCTAAAGGCAAATCCATTTTGGTTTTTTTTCCCCTTTTTGCTAAGCCATACTTCAATAAAATGTTTGAGTGAAGTTTTTTTTTTTCCTGTGAGTTCAAAATATCTTATTTACGTTGCAAAACTCAGATCGCGAAGCTGAATAACAGCCTGTTGTTGGGGAATTCGACCCCTCTACTGCCTGCATAAGCACCACTGGCATACCCTGAGGTGTGCACCAAGAGGCATTCTATGCCATTCCTACATGCTGACAAAGGGAAACTGTCTGCATCACTTAAAGGCCTAGAGGCCTTTGAGGACTCAGAAACGGTGGCTTTCCTATTTGATCCTCTACCTGATCGGACACCGTCCATGGAGCGGCGTACCCAGAGGCTGAACCAGGAGCTACTCTCGGGGACCAGAAATATCGGGTCCATGCTTCAGTGGCAGCCACAAATCAAAATGGCGGTGACGGTGGAACTCGAGACCATGCCGACTGGTGCAGGTGTGACGCAGCCTGACCAGGCCTCTGAACAGGTACCTCACCCTGCAGGAGACACGGAGGGATCAGCCCCGGTCATACAACGTGACTTTCGCAATCTGGTCACAGAGATTAAAGGCCTATTAGCAGCCGATGTGGTAGTAATAAAAGCTGATTTACAATCTGTAATGGACAGAGAAACAGAATCAGAGGGCGACATTACAGACCTCAAGATGGGCCTGTCGTCCCTAATTGACACTACAAGCTAATCATCAAGCCCTTTCACTTCGTTACACAGCTCTTGATGACAGGTCACGGCCCAACCACCTGAAATTAAAGGGGTTTACCAGACCCAATCATGCCTGATGAGCTCCCTCACTATCTGAGGAGGCTAGAGGCTTCAGTGCTTCCACCAAGCCAGGCAAATAAGTTCTCCCTGGATGGAAATTATTGACTGCCAATCTCAGGCAGAGCTCAAGCGACAGTGGCAAGAGACGTCATAGTCCGCTGTTCCACCTCGCAGGACAAACAATCCTTGCTGACAGCACTACGGGGCAAGACTCCCTTAACATTTGAAGGCTGCACTCCCCTTCTACCAAGATCTTACAAGGTCCACTCTGCAGTGGAGAAGATCCCTGAATCCTGTTATCAGCCAGCTTAGATCAGCAGGAGTGGAATATCATTGGAGATCACCCAGGCTCCTGGTGGTCACCGAAAGTGAAAGTGGTTGAGAACGAGAGGATTAATTTTTTATCAGAAAGGACCAAAGGTTTTTTTATAAATGTGGAAGGTGCAGCACATGCAAATTCCAGAGAAATAAGACTACGGAATTTTCGAGTATGGTGACGAAAGAAACTTTTAAGATAAAGCATTTTATTAACTACCAAAGTAAGTTTGTGGTATACTTGTTACAGTGTAAATGTGGGGTCCAATATATAGGACATACGATTAGGAAATTACACATTAGACTGTTAGAACACTTTAATGGGATCAAAAATAAAAATGGGAAACATAGTGTACCTAGACATCGTAATGCTTGCAAAGATTTTGATTTTAAGGATTTTACTTGCATTGGGATTGATATGATTTTACCTCATTGGAGGGGTGGAGATACTGAAAAAATGTTAGCCATGAGGGAAACAGAGTGGATATATAGGATGAAGTCCTCTGTTCCCTCAGGACTTAACACGGATTTAGATATATTGGTCTTTATGGATTGATTATATTGATGCGTTTTAACATTAATTATTTTTATCTGTTCCTCCTTTTAGCTCAAGATTTTACGGTAATTTTTTATGTTTTTTATATTTATACATATTTTTATGTATGTTTTTTGCACACATCTATATGTATTTTAATGTAAAGTTTTATGATGATAACATGGGATTTGTCACTTGTTGTAATTACAACTATTTCTGTGTGTATATATTTATGCACGCGACACTCATTCGTTCATGATTTGTATGCCTTTATATTTACATTTATATTTATATGTAAACCCATTCTTAGGGATTTATATTTATAGTTGAGATATGCCAGTTCTCATTTAGATGTTTATATGTATCTATCAGTGGCATGCACACATAGCGTGTTCACAATTATGTATTTATGAATATATGTATCATATATCTGTTGATTATGGAAATATAAATGGACTTATACTCATTCAAAATATTGATTAATTATATTTATATGTACTTTTAAATATTTGCCTTTTTCTCTACTTGTGTTTATTATATATATATTTTTCTCTACTTATATTTGTTTATTTATTTATTATATTTTTAGTCTCTTTATCTCCCTTTTTTACATTAGTCCTATTTATATTTCCCCTGAATGTACAGCATTTCCCTGTTAAGGCTTAGCTGTGGGGTAGGCAGGTTATGTAAACACGGTCTGCACAGATCTGGGCGCTCTAGTTTATAGAGCATTCATATTGCGGCCGTGTAGAGGAACAATAAAGTTTTTCCCTCGTTCCAGCGTGGTTGCGCATGCGCGTGACAGTCGCGCATGCGCCAATGACGGAGACCGGCGGACGGACCGGCAGATTTAAAAAGGGGGAAGATGGAGAAGAAAGAAGCTCCTGAGGAAGTCGGATGACGAAACGCGTTGAGCACTATCTGGGACCCTGCACTTTGGTATCAGCGGTTTTTATCCTGTTTGTGTGCTGATTTTATACACTGCTTATGCAGTATTTACTTTGGGCTCATTATATTGTATGTGTATAAGTGATAAGCTTGGTGCACTTTCTTGTATAAGCATATTTGCACTTTAGCACTTGCACTTTATTTCACTGCCCAGTTCAGCATCATATATTGTTAAGCTGCTATACCTAAGGGTTCCTTGCCTATGGTGGCTTTTTAGATATTTGGGCACATATGTTGTGCTGTGATTATATTTTGTATCAATAAACTTTTGCTGTTTTTTCATTTCATTTTATATTCTATATTTCTTTCTTATTCCCTCATTATTATATACCAACATAGTGATTGTGGCGCCCTGTTCTTTCTAGTATTTAGTTCAGCTACTAAACTGGAGCCTAATCGCCCGTAGATAGATGCCCTGGCTCTCAGATGACAGGGTATTCACCCATACACTATGGGGAGCGCTCCATCATCAATAACCCCACCTCCACCCCCGTTGCCTCCTTGGTTAGGGGTATACTTAGAATACAGCCAGACTGTGCACTTCACACTTGGTCACACTTTCGTGCTCTTAAACTGTGTCGCTGATCTCCCTAAGCTATTGTACCATCATGTCACAATGTCAATGTTTGGTTGTTTCACTCTTGACCCGTTTGTTATCTTAGGACAGAAGTTGTCTCCTGTAACAAATTGTATAAGCTCCATGTCCCTTCTTTATTTCTGTACCCAACCATGAACTGGTATAAAAAAATGAAAATTTCAATAAAAATTGATTTGTCAAAAAAAAAAAAAATCTTATTTTTTTCTAGAAACATTTATTGGAAACTTTTTTCTAGAAACATCTATTGTAACTTAAAGACACCTTACCCTGAGTTTTATTGCCATATTATTGTAGCTCCTGGAAAAGATGAAAACAAGGACATGACCATCCAAAATAGGGACTGCCCCTCTTAATTAGGTGCACTTGGGAGGTACACTTTCTGTTTGCAGGCTTTTAGGTCCTAGACTGGAGTCTGTAACTTGCCATCTGCAGTTTAGTGAGTCATATAAAACAAAGGATGAAGGATGAGGGTGAATAGATGCAGTGTTGTCTTTGTACAGCGCTCTTGTATATAAATACACATGTTCTGGGCTAGATTTGTTCACTCATATCATTAACATCTACAAAGGAGTTCTGGAAGAGGGGGATCATTTTTTTCTGATCTCTCAATGCTAAATTGAAACTCATTTATTGCACATCTATTCAGTAACACACAAAGCAATATAATGGCTTTTCTTATTTATGCATTTCATTAACGGCTCACCCTTTTTTACAGTAATGCAAACAATATCAGATTAATCGCCTTCCGTGTGTGTGTATACAGGATTACATCCATATGCTCACACAGTATACGAAGCCCATCACCACCAGTTAATATCACTATCGCTTACCTAAGCAAAGCCGTCAATCAATATTTAATGAATCAATTAATTTGTGTTCCTTTATTGTGTATGTTTCTGGCAATCTATGGCGAAAAGGAAAGCCAGTTCTATCATGTACGTTAATGTTTAGTATAATATTTTCCATGATTAGTATGTTACTGGTGACTGAAGGGTTTTATGCACAGCTCAGAACCAACAAACTAAATTATAATTGCAATATCACGAGGGAATTAAAATAAAAAAACAGAATGTAACAGATTATCTATCTATCTATCTAGCTATGTATGTATGTGATTTGTCTGTCCATCCATATTTCTGTCTATCTATATTAGTTTATCTATCTATCTATCTATCTCTGTCCATTCGTCTGTCTGTCTATCTCTGTGATTTGTTTGTCTGTCTATCTATCTCTGTGATTTGTCTTTCCATTCGTCTGTCTGTCTATATCTGTGATTTGTCTGTCTGTCTATCTATCTACCTATCTATCTACCTATCTATCTCCTTCATTGTAGTGGTGTGGTTATATACCCACTGTGTTTAGGTAATTTCCATGCCTGATGCTGTATTTGGACTAACAGAGACCATTTCCTGGAGGAGGTAGTTTCCATGACATTTTTATTATAATACTGAGATGAACTTACAAATGTTTGCGTCCCGGTTGAGTGATTCTGAATAAAGCTTTAGGAAGAACACACAAAATAACTTGATTGTCTCATATGCTTTGCCTGCACACTTCTCATATGAACACAGTGCACACATTCAGCCTATTGTGTGCATTATCTGTCACGATTGTCACAGTTATACACAGTACTTACAATGACACATGTTATTTCAGTTTAATTTATTATGAGTTTGGTTTGAGTTGAATGTGGCTACGTCATGAATGGTGTCAGCAAAGTTGGTAATTGGTTTGTAATATTAAGAGGTTTCTATTTAGTTTGTGCAGTAATTATGTGACCTCTCCTCGGATATCTGACTGTAGGGCACAATCTGGATATATGTTAAGATCAGTAAAAACTGGGTATAATCTAGACGTAGTTTGATGGCTGGCAAGAGGCCAGTGATCAGAGCCGATCCTAGAATCACTGACGTCTGGGTGCAACAATTTTGTGCAATTGTGAGTAGAGGGGGTGGAGTATAAAAGGGGGATTAAGGACTGTAGTGGAAGATAGGGGCTATATTGGGGGGATAGGTCTGAAATTCACTGTAGTGGGTGTATAGGGGCTGCATTTGGGGAGTAGGCACTGTAGTGGGGGATAATGCCTACACTTTGGGGTAGAGACTGTAGTGTTGGATAGGGAGTGAACTGTGGTAAAGGACTGTAGTTGGGATGTTGGGGGCTGTAGTAGAAATTGGGGCTGCTATTTGATAATAATGGCTGTAGTGGGGAGGGGGTTAGGGTCTGTAGGGGGAATATGCACTGCAGTTGGGATAAATGCTGCATTTCGGTGTAGGGGCTGTAGTGGGCACATAGGGGCTACAGTGGGGGTAGAAGCTTTAGTTAAAATAAGGGACTGTAGCAGGGATATTGGCTGCAGTGGGGAAGTAGAGGATGCTGTTTAGTTAAAAGAGCTGTAGTAGGTGGTTAGGAGGTGTAGTAAAGGAGCTGCAATTGGAGGGTTAGTTGCTATAGTAGGGATTTAGGGGCTGTAGAAGGGATTAGGGGCTGCAATTTATGATTATAGGCTGTAGTGTGGAGTTTA